ATTGAACTCTGGCCTTGCTCATACAAAGCAGAACTCATAGCAATAGCATCAGCTATCTGTACCGCTCCTAGAAATTGTACTATACAAATTTTTACAGATTCCCAATCAGTTATTTCAAAGTTTTACAACCTTTCACACAATACTCATAACACAAACTTTATAAATACTCCTTATTGGTCCATCTGGAACACTTTTTTAAACTTCTCTAAATCCTACAATTTAAATATTATATTTCACAAAGTCAATGCACATCATGATGACATTTTTATCAATGCAGCTGACCAACTAGCCCGAAACTATCAACAAGCACTATATCTCACTTTCAATACAACTAATATATACAACCCTTTATTTACTTTTAGCTTTAACAATCTTTCAATTGAACTTCCTATATGGCATAGTATTAGAACAATATATCACGCACATATCTTCGCTAACTGGTCATCTCAAAACCGGTTCCAAAAATGGATTCCAATTATCTCTCTAGTCAATTGGCAAGCAACTTGGCTCTATCTCAATAATAACCAAAAAATATCCAACTTTTCACAACTTTCAATTCTCTAAATACAAATCTTTCAGAGTCAAATTACTTTTAGATAATTTGCCAACACCCAATATTCTTCATAGAAGGAATCCTTCCTATCCTAACAAATGTCATATATGTCAACAAAAAGTAACTCACTTCATTGGTTATCTTGCCCATCCCCTGTGCCTCTATTTAACCTTATTCGTAGCTCTTTAGAACATATTTTAAACCATAACAAACTTCAAATCTCATATCTTCAAACACACAACCTCCACACCTCTATTCTTAATCTTGATAGTTTTCAAGCTCACCAACTTATTCATAATCTTCTCTAGCTTCTACACTCTTAGGCTTAGTACCAATTGATATTATTAATACATTAAGCGAGTATACTACATCCAGCAAAACAGCAACATCTTTTACTATTAAACTCTTTCTTGAAATTAATCTGCAAATATACAAAACATTATGGATTTCCTATTGCATATTAAGATCGCAAACTGATTCTACAACTTCATCCCCACCTTTTTCTATTTATATCCCTAACACATTCAACGCCTCTAATCAGTCAAATATTAAATCTAACTTAATTAATCTCTTGCATAAAATTGAAACATGGTATACTCACTGGATCAAATACTTAATACACACATCTCATATTATTACTAATACTCAAATCTAGGTGAGCCTTGGCCACTCTGGTTGGTTTAGGCCACAGATAAAAAACTAGGTGTCTATTAGGCACTTTTAGTTAGTCTGAGTTCTTATTCTTAGCATTAGGTTTATACAATAAAATTTTTTCTGATTTTGTAAGAAATTTTGATTAAATTTAATAAAGATAAGAGCAAGGTCTCACCATTAACATTAAAAAAAAAAAAAAATTTTATTTTTACTTAGTATGAATGATCATCATCACGTGATCAAAAACCGAGCACAGATTCTACATATGCATTGAAATTATAGATATCAGTGAAGACACTGAAATCGTAAATGTAGATAATGATATTGATATAATTAATATTAGTGGGGATATTGATATAATCGATATTAGTGAAGATATTGAAACTATGTACATTAGCGATGATATTGAAACTATGAATATTAGCGATGATATTGAAATTATGGACATTGACAATAATGTTGAAATTATAGACATTGACAATTATGGACATTGACAACAATTAGTTTTATTTGTTGTAATCACAAAGCTGTACTGTATAATTTAATTAATTAAATTGAATATTTTAACATTTGCAATAGCAAAAACAAATAAATAAATAAATTAAATATTTTAATGTTTGAAATGGCAAAAACAATTAAATAAGTAAATTGAATATTTTAATGTTTGCAACAGCAAAAATAAATAAATCAATAAATAAAATCTATTAAAGTTTATTATTGTGAAGTTAGAAGTGTAAAACTAATATAAACATAGGGGGTTGCTTATTTTTAGATATTATACAAAATTTAATGGTGCTTAATTTTGTGGGGTGTTTAATTTCGGAACTATATGGTATTAATTTTTTATAAAATTGTTAAAAGTTTATAAAATAAGAAATATGTATAAATATATGAAATATTACCTTTTGTGTGTATAGCCCTCCAAATTGTTGTAAAAAAGTTCCATCTCAGATTGTAATTTAAACAAGTACCAGTCAGGTTTTTCTTTCATTAAAACTTTAAGATAATTTATATTCATGTTTAAAGAACATGGTTTTCAATACAACCATATTTTTGAAAATATACAAGAACCCAACTTATAGAAGACGTGCTAACACCTAAGTGTTTTGCAATATTTTGAGTTGATAGGCCTTCCAAATTTTTTTCAATAATTTGTTGTGAATGTATTATATTTTTTGAATTCAACAAAAGATGTGCATAATTTTATATTTATTATCTGATTTTAAATTACGTATATTACATCAATTTTTATTGAATTATTATTATGCCAAAAAATAACTAACTGGATTGGTTGGCTAATTTTTTATCAGATGTCCTAGGAATAATGAAAATAGCTGTAATTAAAATGATTTACGGCATAGTTTTAAAGTGGCCGGAAATTTTATAATATAAATATACTGTATTATTTTTACAGAACTAATATGCAGTGTACTAGTATAATATATTATAGAATACTCATTTCTAACACTCTTTAAATAATTCAAGCGCCTATTATACAATAAAATTTGTTTGACTTTATCATTTATTTATATTTTGTATTTTATTAGTTTTGTCACTTTTCATCAGCTTAATTATTTCGTCAGTTTTGTCACCTTTTATCTGCTTAATTATTTCATCATTTAATATTTTAATTGACAAAAGATAAACTAGGTTTTGAGTTTCATTAGCATGACACCTCAAGATTTCGCCTAACAACTATACTTGTGAATATCTTCATCTGGTCCTGCTTTTTTTTTGGTAAATGAAATTTAGAAACTCTTGCAATATATTTTATATTATAAAAAGTCAACTTAACTAATTAGAACCTCCAGTATTTTACAATAGAATTTTGTGCCCTGTCTTCATTCTTTTCAACTCAACTTCCATCAAGGTCCGATTGAGTTGATTCAGAGCTTAGATTTACAGATAAATGTCACTCTCAAGCATCAATCTCAATGTGATTAGCAAGTGATCATAATAGTGCTCAGGCATAATTATATTTACAAAAAATTTTTACCAAATTTTGAATATGCAATTTATAACATAATTGTAATCTTCTCAAGCATCAATTTCAATGTGATTAGTGAGTGATTGTACTAGCACTCATTTATTATGATCAATTAAATAACTATCGAAGTCAATATTTGAGCAGTACCCTACTGATTTCTATTATTTGTCAAATGTCATCATCAAAAATTAAAAAAAAAAAACAAAAAAATAAAAACAAAAAATTAAAATAAAAAAAAAGCGTTTATCCAAAAGAAAGTAACAGATGTTACTGATTATCAAAATTCTAGTGAAGCATCAACTTCAGTAGTTTCTAGTACTCCATTCGCTAATTTCACCAACTATAATGATGGAATAGTTGAATTTGTTACCATTTGAACGAAAGCCAAGAGATGGTAAGTATTTAATATTGTTTCTTGGGCTTCTCAGTTTTTTTTATAGAGAAGTAAAATAATAATTTGTTGATGTCGAAAATGATGGTCCATGGTAAAGCTGCTTGAGTGATCTCCTTAAATACTCTATTGATTGTAAAATTTTCAAAGGCAGGTATAAAAAAAAGGAGGTCTGTTGTAAAAGTTTTTTACTAATAAAAAAATGTTTATTACATAATAAACTTTATTAATTTACACATATTCATTATAATGATAAACATGCTTAATTAATTTTAAATATTTTCTGCTAAGTAAAATTTATTTCCAGACACTTTTTGACTCATTGATTGAGGTGCTTGAGAGCGACCAAAATGTACTGAGTGGTAATCTTGACTTCATTTCAATATATGGATGTGTTTATGCAACTATATAGTGTAAAAATTTGTTATATTTTTTTTATAAAATTTTGACATAAAATTTATGCATAAAAAAGATTTCTTACTGAATTCACCAATTATATACAAAGTAACATATTATTTTTGCAATTGACATATATTGAAGAACATTATTACATATATAAATTGTACCCAAAATCATATTTGTTAAATATGCAAGTTAGAAAATTTAAATTTATATATATCAAAGTTAAAACCTGCAAGCAAATATTTTTTAACTATACCAAGTCTAACTTCAAAAAAATTGAAAATTATGTAATTAAAGCATATGTACAATTGGTTCTACAAGTTTTTTAAATAATTGTAATCAGTCAATGTATATCTATTAATAGTTGCTTTAATAAATTTAATATTATTTGTTTGAATTATATAATTTTATTAGATCATTTATGAAGTATTTTATTTAATGATAATATAACAATAATGTTTATCAGATCAATTAAATAAACTTGTATCATATTTATCATACTGTATTATTATTATATATTACTTTTAATATTTTCTTGACTTTCAATATTGTAATTATAATTATGTAATTCTTTAATTCACTAATTGCTATATTTTATATGCTTTTTATATTAACTATTTGCATAATCTGTTCTTTTAGTTTTCATAAATTCTTATATTTATTAAATTACGGTTTTATTTTTTTATAAACAATTAATTTCTATCTTATGTTATTTTTCTCTTGTACTATCTTATTTGTTCTGAATTTTTATTGCTGTTCTTAATTCCTATAATTGATGACTTAACAAGTTTTTCTGATAGTTCAACTACTATTAAAGTAGAAATCGGTAATACATATTGTACTTAAGATCATTGGGAGCAAGTATTATGTGATGATAAAATAGTTTGGCAATGCAAATATTGCCAAAAGAAGAAATATTCTTTGAATACTAGCAGAACACATTTTAAAACTCATACAATATAATGTTCCAAATCTCCAGCTTATGCAAATGATAATAAAAGTTTTAGTTTTGTCAAATCAGTTACAAAAGAGGAAATAGATAATTCTATTGTTAATTTGGTTACAAGAACTGGCATATATTTTAATGTTATTGATAGTCAATTGTTTCATCAAATGGCAAGAAAATTTTATTATGTAACTAACTCATATAAGATTCCACATTCAACCACAATTTCATGCTATCTTACTAGAAACTTATACAATCTTAGATTTGAATTTATTAAGGAGATTTTAGAAAATTTTTAGGACAAATATCATTAACTTGTGATAGATAGCATTTATCTGTCCATAAATGTCATTATGTTGTAGTTACAGATTCTTGAATAAGTGATAGTTGGAATATGATTAATATTGTTTTAAGCTTTCAAAAAACCAGACAAACTGCAAATGATATTAGCTTAGCAATATTAAATATATTAGAAAATTACTCAATTAAGGAAAAGGTTTTTGCAATTACTATAGACAACATCACTACTAATAAAGCAGTAGTTCATTTGCTTCAAAATAAATTACCAAATATAGATTTAATCTCAGTAGAATGTATGTGCTATATACTTAATCTTGTTGTCAAAATAGATTTAACAGAAATAAGCCCACTTCAAAAAAAGATTTACAAAATTATAAAGTATTTAGCAAATCCTTTAGCTAATGGACAACTAGAATTACTAAAAACATATTGCTAAATTACTGGAATACAGTTTTTATATCCAATTCTTGAAATTTATATGCACTGGAATTCTACCCTAGCAATGTTTGAACAGTATATTTATTTGCATCCAGCTATCTATAAATGTATCAAAAAGAGTTTAAAATGCCATCTTGTTTAGAAGAAGAAGAAGAATTATTAGAACCTCAATTATTTTGTTCTCTTCTTAAACCATTTGAAATAGCTACTTTAATTCTTTCAAAAGATAGATCAAACTCAATTTCATATGCTATATTAATTATACTCAAATTGCACAACACATTAACAAAGCAGAAGCATTTAATAATGCAACACAATTAATGATAAAAAAGTTTCAAAAATATTGGAATAAAATTAAATATTTTGAATCCAAGATACAAATTAGAATATTTAAGAGTAATATTAATTGAGGTTGGCAAATATACTAAGAGTTCAGCAAAAAAGTTTATTGATGAGATTTGACAAAAAATAATTGAATATGGAATGAAATATATGGATGCACAATCCTCCTCTCTATCTATTGAGATTGTTGATAATCACACTACATCCAAATTATCTAATTTATTATTTCCAAGAAGAGTTTTAAAAAGGCACCATACTAATAATAACTTGATTAGTTATGAATTAGAATTATATGACCAAGAGAGTGTTGAAGAGTTGAAAACTAATATTGAAAATGATGGTTTATTTTTTTTTGGACAAGATTATCAAAAAATATCTAATATTAAACAAAATAGCACAAAATTACTTTAGTATTCAACCATCAAGTACTACTAGCGAAAGAGCATTTTCTAGAGCTGGATTTACAATTACAAATAATTGGGCAAATCTTAATAAAAAAACTGTAGCATGCTTAATACTTATACACTCATGGCTTGTTGAAAGCCAAAAAGAATTTATCCCACTTAAAGATCTTCCTGGAATAACATAATTGTCAAACAACTTTAATTGTAGTATTAGATACTTTTTTAGAACATTTCATTAAACAATAATAATATGGAATATAGCTTAAATATATATCTCAATAGTATAAAGTTATAGATAAATATAGAAGTTGCATACACAATAGAACAATAGTAGAACAATATAATATGTATATATATATATATATAGTAACTATTTGCAATTTTGCAGATTTGAAATTCAAAATTAAATTGATTTCGAACTTGACAAATAAAATAAATTTTGTGACTCAAAATATCAATCTAGCATAAAAAGTACTTGTAAAATATAAATAAATCTATTTTAAGTAATTATAAATTTATTGTTACTGAGATTATATATGATAATTTTTAAAAAATATAAGTACATATTCAAGTATTATCGAAAAAAAGAAATTGAGATATTTATTTAAATAATAATTATTTTTAGTAAATTATTTAATTTCTAAGTACTTTTTATATTATTTAAGCTAGTTTGATAGAAAGAAGCTAAGTTCAAATTAAAACAACTAGAAATAAATAAATTCAAATCTTAGACAATATTGATAAATTAGCAATATTAAAGATATTATAGCAATGTTTATACTAGAAATTATACTATAATTAAGCAAATATTCTATTTTTATTGCAAGAACTAATGAGCCTAATACGAATGAGTCTTGTCTATATTATATTTGAGACAGTGATAAGCTAAAAATTATATAAATAGTTATTTACCTTTACATCGAAATCACTTTTTTTGAAATAGAAACATGTGATTTTTATTTCAAAATTAAACAATAGTTAATCAAGCTAAATTTTGTTCTTATATTAATAATTTTGGCTTATGTAAACCAGTGCCAAGTTCTAAAGAACTTTTTGATATGCTCTGGAGGTATTATATACAAATTCATTCGGAATAGAAGCCAAATCAATACATATTCCAGAACATAGTTAGTTTAGCTCTTATATTGCTGATTTTTGGTTTGTATAATCCCATGTTGCAAGACCCAATTCTAAAGATATTTTGGTGTGTGTCCTATAGTACTCTGAAGGCATTATACAAATAAAAGAAATAAACTCAAAAATTAGATATTATTCTTATGGAATAGGGACTAAATTAATGCATTAAGATAGTCAGTCATCCATTTATCCGTATCTGCTTAATCATTCGGATATCAATAGTAAACAGATATAAAACGGATATCTGAATAAATTCAGATCTGGATATCCGATGGATAAATGGATAAACAGTGTTATGACCGGTGGGAGAATCTATAGAGCCTTGGACCAATCAAGCTTTGATCGTGAACAAATAGTGATTAAATGGTTTAAATCAACAAACTAACACACATAATTACAGGTTATAAGGTTTCTCTTTATTAACATAAATCAATACATCGGAATATACAATAATACTAAATACTATTCACCATCCTTCTAACCACCCTTCACGGACTAAAATTATACCCTTATATACCTTTAATTCGTATGGGAGCTTTAATCCCTCGTTTGGAGCTTCAATCTCTCGATTGGAGCTTTAATCACTCGATTGAAGTTTTGATCACTCTTGGAGCTTTAATCAACCGTGCCACAAACTATACCAAAATAAGAAATTCATAAATAACGATAATGATAAAATAATATAACACTAAAAAATTGAGCATAACACGGATAATAGATAGGAACACTACATTAAAATTTTATTCTATCAAGGTATGTTTAATAGATTTGACTTATGTAAGCCAGTGTCACAAGACACAAAATTCAAAGAACTTTTTGGTATGTTTGTCGTAAATGGACATGGAATTTAAGTGGATTTGGAATTTCTTAATTAAATAAGGGTTAGGTGTATTTAATAATTAGATATTTTTTTGGAATAGAAGCCACCTTAATATATAAAGACTTAATTCCGGAAATATAGTTAATCAAGGTAGTTCTTATACGTATTACTGATTTTTGTTTATATAAGCCAGTGTCACAGGACTCAAATTCTAAGGAACTTTTAAGTGTATTTACTATTCCACTTCGGAGGTATGTATACAAATAGAATATTTAAAAAGCAGATATTATTTTTTCTGAATAAGAGCCAAATTTATGTATAAAGAATTTTATTTCAAAATGTAGTTTATCAAGATATGCTATCTCTTACATTACTGATTTGAGTTATGTAAGCAGTGTCGCAAGACTCAAATTATTAAGAACGTTTGGAATGCTTTCTATATCACTCCGGAGGCATTATACTGCATATAATAGAAAGGAATATACTCAATTAATGCATTCTGGCTAAGATATGTATTTTTACAGCATATCACTGTACAAATTATGATATATCAATATAAGACTAACATGATCTTATCTAAATTACTTATAACAAACTAGTGCTCCGAACGGGTCGGGTCGGGTTAAAAGTTTTCGGGTTAAAGCTTCAACCCGAACCGAACCCGACCCGAAATTTTAGGGCTAATATGGGCATGGACTAGGAAAACCCCCTTCGACAGATAATTTGAGTTTTGAGAAAAATGCAATTGATTTTTGTGTTACACGATTTTTGCCCGATTAATTTTTAGATTTAATTACATCATAAAAATTTTTGTGATTATTTATACGATAATAGCGAAATATCGATGTAGTACTGTACTAACATTAATTAGTTAACCACTTCAAATTTAATTTGATTGGACAATTTCTATTTTGAATCTATTTTTAGAACATTGCATTTTTAAAGAAAAGTTTTTTTAAATCGAAAAATCTTAATAATTTACTAATTTAATCTAGAATAAAAAGTGCAAATTATATAGCTAAGAACTAATACTTTGATTTGAATCGAAAATTTTAAAATCGACCAAAAAGCGTCGAAGGGTTTTCCTAGTCCATGCCCCATATATTAAATTTTTTTAAAAAAAAATGAATTCAATCGCCCTTTTTGCTCTTAAACGTTTAATAATTCATGTAACAATGATCATCGAAGTTGGCTAATCAAATCTAAGCGCAGCATGCTTATAAACTCAGCGGGCTACTACAGTAAGAATTGTGCATTGCATATTCAGAATCAACGAAAGTTTTTTATTTTTATCCTATGGATTCATGGAATTAATATAAAAAACTTTACTGATTTGCTGTCAAGAAATTATTGTTCGAAGTTAAAAAGAATTTAGGAAATTATTAAAACAAGTCAGCAGTTAAGTTTTTCCAAACTTTGATAGGTAATTGCTGAGATATTTTCGTTCAAAGGTCGAAAATTATATAATATTATAACCAGGGATTTTCAATTTCATTAGCTTGAGATATCAACAAATATCAACAAATAAGATCTCTTCGATGAATCAAACTAATTTCAATATGTGTAATATTTTAAAGTAAATAATATATGTTAAAATTCAGGATGCGGTTTCATTTAATGATCGAAATCTCAAGTTACGTATTGACAGTTTTTTAAAAATGCATTTTCACGTTATAGCTATCTAGCTTTCTTAATAACCCTAGCTGCCGCAACAAAATTTCACGACAGATTCTCGATTTTGATTGGCTAAGAGCGATGATCGAAAAAATTTGGCAGGAATTACTCAGAATTCTACTAATGAAACCACAGAGCCTATTGAGTGAAAATTGTTCCCAGGTCAATTTTACCATAATGCGGGATTATTTTCCAAAAACTTCTATTTTTGTAATGAAAAAATCAAAAGTTAATAACGGCCGGAAATTAGTAAGCAATTATGTAATGTGGGCCAAAATTTGTAGATCTCTGGCCGTTAACCAATCATAATCGAGTAATCGATCGGTTGAAGAAATATGATTGGTGCATACTTGACCTTGACTGTTTATTTAAAATATTATTTAAAAATACATATGCACTTGCAATTAGAATCAAAAAAAACAACATAAAATGTGGATAATTTTCGGGTTGGCCTGGCCCAATTCGGAGCACTATACCAAACACAATAAAGGAAGCACATCGTGCCTAAGTTGATACCTGCTCGAAATTGTAATTTCAGGTGTCTAAAATCGCTCTTGACTGAAATTAGCTCCTGAATTAAATAGTCTTGCACGAATTTTAGACAAATGTAACTTCAGAAATCTGAAGTCGCAACTTTAATATAATAGCAAACAGAACTTCCATATGTTCTTCGTGTAAATAGAGTCATCTGATCAAACGATAGATTTTTAATATGAGAGTTTTTACTATAATAATTTTATATATAGCTATGTTAAGTAAATAACTAATAATAAATTGTATTATTTCTAAATCACTCAGAGCTCGACTAGATTTTAATACTCGTGCCCATGTTTATGCCTATGTTGTGTCTATGCTCATGCCATACTTATGCCAATACCCACGCCCATGCCCATATCATGCTCATACTATGCCCATGCTTATGTCTACTCATGTCAAATTATATGTGTCTATACCATGCCTGTGTTTGTGCTTAAAAGTGCCAAGACTTTTAGACCAGATGCCAAATAATTGTGCCCATGCCTATGCCTATGCCCATGTTTAAAAAAATAGTTGGCATTTTTAGGCCTAATATAGATGCCTGTGCCTAAAAGGTGCCTAATATTTTAAAGCCCAATGCCAAATAGTTATGTCTATGTTTGTGCCTGTGCCTTTTATTGGGCATGGGCATATGCCGGTCCTGCAGATCCCTAAAAAGGATGTTACACAACTGATTTTACACTCGGTGTGAAACACATAAAAAAACTAGTACGATGTGTGGCGCATTCGCGCCACACATCTTATTTAGTATTTCTTTTAATTATATTTCTGCTTAAAATTCTTTACATAATTTATTATCTATTGTAATATATGCAACATGCAGTTAAAATTGAATAAGTTACGTTGAAATTATCATGTTTCTACCATGATTTACTAAGAATTCTATCACAGAATTTACTAATGTGTATATATATAGTTATTGAGTTAGTATTATCATAATTTTTACTATAACTTGATATAAAAATTATTATAGAACTTACTCTCTATTCGAAGACTACAGTATGTAGTTAGGTTTTA